CACAGGGCTTCCGCAAAAAATGTGACCAACACGAGTAAACGCGTCTTAAACGCCTCTTCTCCTGCGGGACGTTCACTTGATGGTTTTATCGATGTTTCAAAACGAATGAGAAGGGGGCGGCAAAATACAGGCGGCCCATGGGCGGCATGTAAGTAAATCCGGCCCTGAAATGACTTACTTTATACAGCAAAATTAGTCTCATTTGTAAAAAAATTTTTTAAAAAAAAAAAAAAAATCGTGAGTTATGAAAAATCAGTGATTGCAGAATAATTGACGTCATTTCAAGCAAAACGGCAGTAAATCCACATTATTCCGCGAGAGAGCTGTATTACTCTACTGCGCTACGAAAAAACGTCCTATGAGCCTTCGAAAATGGACACATTTCTTTCCCTAAAATTTTGAGGAAAACTTGTTCAAATTATCTTCCCAATTGTTTGCATAATTTTGTTCGCAATTTTACCGAAAGCATATGAAAATTATAGGAAAAAATATTTGTAACTCTCCTATAAAATAAATATTTTGTTGCGGGAAATTTGGCATCGTTCATATGCTTAGACGCTGGTCTGGAGTAGAATGGTAACATCTTTTTTCTCCTTTATTTTTCTTTTTTTTACCAATTTCTACACTGAAAAAAAAGATCGGTTGAATTTACCATTCCGTCACGCTGTATTTCATCCAGCGTGAATTCAAAGTCGATTTTACCAGAGGAATGGTTACCTGTGCCATTATATAGTAACGTTGAAATTTTTTCTGGCAGAATTAACTCTGAATTGACGCAGTGTGAATTACAGCGTGAAGAGATGGTAAATTCTATCAATCTTTTTTTTTCAGTGTGAACCCACTTTTTTTTGGGTGTGCGTTTGTGCAAAACGCAAACCCGCAAGCCAGTAGAAAATGCAAATAGAAAGCATGTCTGCCTATCATGAAGTGGAATAGGCCCTTTTTTATGGTCGATTTTCAATAATCGATTTTCTTTCTATGAGTCTTTTTCATACTAATTGACACTTTTACGAAGAACAGTAGACTTGCTCGCTGCCCTCTCTGGAAACACGGCCGAGTCGTTGAGCACTGAGCAGTTTAGGAATCTTTAATTGGGAAATGTTCCTCATAATCTTTTTTTTGTTTTAGTTAGGGCCCCGTCTTACTCGGTGACGTCGAACAATTGATAGACATTTTCACACAACGTGCAAATTTCAAGCCAGTTTATCGTTCTGATTCTCGTGAGAATCCGCCCGATTCTCCGGAACCCGCGCCGAGTTTTCACAACATCTCCTCATGGAGAGTTCAAGAACTTCAAGAGCGGAGGTCGAATCGATCCAAAAGAATCGAGTCGAAACTTTATGATGCCCAGACACAGTCGAGTCCAGGTTGCAATATTTCGCCAAATCCTCAGTCGCTACTGGACGAAGCGGCAATTTTCCGGGACCACATGGCAAATTTGAGTTCGCATCGAGCCGAAGCGCTCGGTGGTGCATAATATTCTGCCAACATCCAAACAGACGAGCCAACGCCGGCGGGGAAGGGGTTCTGGCTGGTCAATGGGGAGGGTGGGAGGAGGGATTATGCGCATAAAACTGCCAACGTGAGAGCACCACATTCCTCCGTCGGTCGGTCGTACTCCAGTTCGTCGACCTGGTCCGGCGTTGCCAACTGAAGGAACGAAGAAGCCTCACCGCGTTTTCCGTGGAAGTCGGGAAAAGGCATACGGTAAAATTTGCTGTATGAGTATGCACTTATTTGCTTGGAAACTGAGAATTAGCTAATGAGCGAAACAAGCACAGGAAAAGTGTGATACAAATCCCCTATGAAAAGTCGATGGAAAATGTGGGAGATGGAAAAAATGAACTGCTCAGGACCTCGATAGAAGATAAAATTCCGGAACCAATTCCCATCCAAGTGTCGCGAGTCATTAATCTGAAACTCGTTACTTCGCTTAATTTTCAAATGAAAACCTGCCAGAAATGTTCCGTTTGACAAGAAATGACGAATGATGGCCCCCCATTTTGATCAAAGAGGAATGTTGCATGGCAACTAACAGTCATCAAGTGGTCTACTTTGATCGGAATTTGATTCGTGCATCGAGACCTTACAATAATTTTTTCACTTGGTGGTGTTGTCTGTTCCATAGTTGATACGGGCGGAGAGTTTTTGGGTTAACTGTTCGAAGAACTGTACGTCGTCAGGGCACATTTTGGACAAATGCCTCGTTACACAAAGGATTGTTGGGAGAAAGTCTTCGAACAGCCTTTCTCACACGGTGAATACCAGAGGAAAGTTCTTGGACAACTGTCCTTAAATATTTATTTATAATGTCCTAGTCAAATCCCAAATCCGGTCAAAGCCGGAAAACCAATGAGGAAGCTCCAGTCTAAATAATTCCTCAAAATTCTCCCAAAAAATTCGCTCAACTGACTTGACTTACGTTCGTATCTCAGTTTCTATACCAGCCCTATGCTCCTTATAACTATATGTTTTTCTGTGGCTCATGTGGGAAAGCCGAGAAACTGAGAATACTCTTGTGCTCACAATCAGTTCACGCAGTAGTTTCTTATATATTCGAAATTCATCAAATTTTAAACAATTGCAATTGCCCATAGACATCGCAAATGATTAATACTAGCATGTTTTACGCAAAGTTTTATTGATTAAGTTTTACTTAGATCCTCGAGCCCCGAACCTCCAACCCTCTAGTGGTTCGTGAGCGCGCGGATAGTCAAAACGCCTTCATTTTTAGCATATGCAACACGGACATCCATCGAGTACGAATAGTTGCATCCAGGAGTTATCATCAAAATCGCACCATACTTCCAGTTAGAGTGCCTTAATTTAGAAACCGAGGATACTCCCATGCTTAGTTCACTTAGCAATGCTCATTTATGTACAAAATTCATCAAATTTCAGACTCTAAGAAAACGTATCCAAACCATTAATTAAGTAGTTGACCATTAGTTAACCATACCGTTCGTCCATTACATTGGATTGTGAAATTTAGGCAGTTACATCACGACAAGGATTCGGGATTTGACTACGGCATATAAATGATTTAAACATTTTCAAATGGTAACCAGGCTACATTAAATCCTCTATTAAGTTTCTAATTCACCTCTGGAAAATACTTTATTTCCGTGGTCCTGCGAGTCTCGAGATTTTGCATTACACCGAGAATGTTACGCGGCAAAGGGACATCACATCACCCAAAGGCGGCGGGGGTCAGGACATTGCCCGCGATCTGTTTTGTTTCTAAATAATTGTACGTGTTTTTTATGATGACAACATCATACTCAGAAGTTAATCTTGAGCTCTGATCAGCACTGTAACTCAGGTCTATGTTTTAACAGAGGCTCATTTTACACGCCTTTTACCAACTTCACTCATGAAGTAAACTTCAAATATTTGCGATATTTCCGCTCCTATTTTAACTCCAAATGAAGATGCGACGAGAAAAATTCTGTTCGGATCAACAGAAACTCCCCCTGGAAACTTCCTGTTACTCCGATTAAAACCGTAATTCAAATTAATTAAAATTCGTATTTTAACAATCAAAGACTTCTCCATTCCTCTTGAGACAACCAGATTTTCCTCCGGAAAACTGAAGAATCACCAAACGGACAATTAGCATTGCAAATAGTATTTTTCCCCGTGTGTGCGCTGACTCGGTCGACTAAAAACCGAATTCATGATGAAAACAAGCAGACACCTAATTAGAACGTCGAAGTTCCTCGAGTTCAGATAGTGTGTTGGGAAATTGTAACGAGACTTTTTTTTCGCGTGCCGTGGCAACATGAATCTGTACTCAAGTGAAGGTATGTGCCCCCCCCCCCCCCCCCTTGCACACCCCTCCCCACCACCACTTCGGCGGAATTCTCCTGCTTCCCTCTTTCGAAGCCGTCAGGCCCGTTCCTCCCTGGCATAAGCCTTCATATGGACGTATTTCTGCCAAACGGAACTATGTGCATTAAGACATGAGCCCCGAGACCCATAAGAATATACACATATCAGGGCACACGTCATGATGCACATAGCTCCGTTTAGCAGAAATACGCCCATATAACCTTCATCTGCACCTCTTTCTCCTCGACCATCCGAGTCGGCTTTCAAAGGTTCTCGTATCGGTCATTGGGTTTTTGAATGAATTCCAGGGAGCCGCTGGTTGTTGAGCGGAGAGCTCCTTGGGCTGTGATCAGTTGAACTTGACTTGAAATGTGACAAGTTCGCAACTGCGGCGATTGGGCCGAGCCCTTTGGAGGTGCTAAAATAATCGCTTCACCCCTCGCCGCGCCCGTTCCCTCGCCCCCTCCTCTTTTATCGCCTCGTCCGGTGCAGGTCCCTGGGTCCCGCCGCTCCCGTCCTAATGTAGTCCAATGATCAAACGTTGCCGAGAAAGTTCATCAGGTGTCAACGCTTTATCACATGTGCAGCGCCGTCTTGCGTATTTTAAGATAGTCATTTGGACGTATTTCTGCCAAACGGCTCCAGAAACAGGTGGGGAAGGAGAGGTGTGCTCGTTAGTTGAGGACTGTAAGAATAAATGGGAATTAAAAAGCGCCAGTAACGTCAGCGGCAACGAAGTGGTCTCCGTTGTCGCCCTTGCTCGGCTCTAACTCATGAGCCCTGTCCACAACGCTCTTTTCCCATTCCCACGGCTCATGAGTGCCGCATTCAGTTGGCACATGATTCTGTTGGACAGAGTGTAAAATCCCACTATTCCATTTTTCCAAAGGGAATCGCTTTAACATTGATTCTTAAGCAGCTTTCTAGAGAATACCCCGTCGTTTCCCCGGTGTTCCACCGCCTTCAATATCTCGATAGGCAATGTGAGTGGCTTGGAAGCAGTAATAGTTGCTCGCCGCATTTCAGTCCCGATCACTCGGTTTTTTCATGACTGTTCAAAGAATACTTCCGGTTTGGTGAGACAACTCTGCAGTTTGATGAGACGTTTATTCGAAGCTTTTGACAAACCTCACGTCCGATCACCAGGAATAAAACAACTTTGTACGAAATGCGGTCAATGAAAAAAAAATGAACTTTATTCAGAAAATTCCAGTGGTTTATAAAAAGTAAAGCCTATAGTAGCTATGGTTAAGAAAGTCATTCATGATAAGGAGGAGAGTAAGCATTCGATTAAGAATGTAGTTATGAGATCATCGATACATTTTGAGGTGATGATGGATTGGAATAAGCAGTCGATACTGATGCACTAGGAGGTGAAACTTGGTCTTGTAAAGCTTTAAACTCTAGATTTATGACAATATTGGAAATTTCCCTTTTCGCCTCAAGCTGGAGGAGAGGGGGTAGGTTCTTAACAGATGTCATAATAGATTTAAAATACGCTTCAATGGGGTCCAGTGGAGTATGCTGAGGGTGAGATTGAGATGCACTTGAGATAAAAGTTTTCATTAATTCATGGCATTCCTTGTTTTGTTTTTGAATCTTGGCGACAATCCTGTCACGAGGGGATAGTTTCCTTCTACCGATAATTTTTTTTGACCAGATTCTGGGTTTTGTTGCGGCAGAATTTGGTGATGTGGAGGTCACAGTCGAGGCAGTTGCTTTCCAGCCAGGGATCTGATTTGAAGGTGTTCTCTTGGCAGGATACTCAGCTTCTTCTTCCTCGCTGCTTGCGTCGTCAATTGCATCTTCTTCGTCCTCCGCTGAAGCATCGTCTTCGTCGACTTCCACAGAAACATTCTCGTCAATTTCGTTGGTAGTTTCTCCAGAATCATTCTTAACCATCCTGAAAACAGAGAGATGAGAAACTAGAAGATTTAACTTTGGTTCAACTCTGAAGGTGGTTGAGTGTTTTACAGCAGTACAGATTAAAAACTAGCGGAGAAAAAAGCAGCTCGTCGTCTCCCGGACAAAAGAACGGAGCTCCATTCCAACAACAATTAATATATACACTTTAAAAAAATGTACATGTGCCATCTTTATCCAAAATATCTCTGATTTTAGCATGATATCTGAGGAAAAATCAGTGAAATTTTCAGTTAAGAATGTTCAAAACTCTCCTAGTTAATATGCAATTTGGGAGGGAAAATTTGGTAACATTGAAATGGAATTACGTTCTTCCGTGAGGAAAACGACGATTTATGAACGCCGAAAAACGCTAATTTTGGCAAGGCCGGATTTACCTCCTTGCCGCCCATGGGCCCTGGGCCATCTGTATTTTGCCGCCCCTTTCTCATTCGTTTTGAAACATCATTAAAAACGAACAGGAAAAGGGGTGCATAAGACGCGTTTACTCGTGTTGGACACATGTTTTGCGGAAGTCCTGTCAACACTATACTATAACGGTGTGGACGAGGCCTTCCATTTAAAAGAAATAAATGAAAAACTTAGGTAAGAACAAACATAAATGTGGCTTAATAATCTTAACTTCCGCCCGCGCCGTGTCGCGTTGACCGCACTGAGTTTGGCGCAATGCGTGAAGTATTCATGCAGTCTTGCAGGCGCTATGCGTTTCACGCCAACCGCTGCTGACCGCACTGTATTTGATGCAATGCGTGAAGTATTCATGAAGTTATGTAGGCGCTAATATGTGTTACATGCCAACCGCCGCGCCGAGGGCTTCGCCTTTTCACCATCGTAAATTCACCTTGACTTCAAATCATTTACTTTCCCCATCCCTTCCTACGCTCGCATCCAGGGCCGGATTTACCTACTTGCCGCCCATGGGCCGCCTGTATTTTGCCGCTCCCTTCTCATTCGTTTTGAAACATCAATGAAAACCATCAAGTGAACATGCCGGAGGGGAAAGGGAGGGGTGCATAAGATGCGTTAAATCGTGATGGACACATTTTTTGCGAAAGCCCTGTCAACACTACTAGCAAAAGTTCACGGAACTTGGCGCGAAAGTTAAGTCTCATAAACCTATCGCTGTGTGTGGACAACGCTTTCCATCTCTAAGAAATGAGCGAAAAAATTATGAAAGAACAAACATTAATGTGGTTTAATAATCTTAACCTCCGCCGCTGCGCCGCGCTGACCTCACTATGTTTTGCGCAATGCGTGAGGTATTCATGCAGTCTAGTAGGCGCTTTGCGTCTCACGCCGACCGCGACCGCTGCGGACCGCACTGTGTTTGACGCAATGCGTGAAGTATCCATGCAGTTTTGTAGGCGCTAATATGTGTTACGTGCCAACCGCCGCGTCGGCCGTGTCGAGGGCTTCTCCTTTTCATGTGAAGTCTTCGTCATCATTGCTCTCTGCGCCGCGCCGTTCCAGGCCACATTGCGTGTTTGATTTCTCTCTTAACTCGACGAATTAAAGGTGCTGTCTCTTGTATCACCAAAAGACGACAAATTTATAAATTACTATACTCTCAGGAAATGATAGATTTTGTCGCCATTTCTCGTTTGATTTTTTTTTCCTGAATCCGATTTTCTTTTATATATACCTACATTTAAAAAAATTGTAAAAATTTGCCGCCATGGGCCGCGGCCCATGTGGCCACCCCCTAAATCCGGCCCTGAATTTTGGTACATTTAAGGAAACACAGATGTTCCATCGACAGAATATTTAAAATGATACGGCTAGTCTGCTCTTACTTTTTTCTTTGTTCTTAAATTCATCGACTTTTCACTTGGGTTTATATACTTACATGGTTTTTTCCAAGGGATCGCTTAGAAATGATAGAAAATGACAGATAGAGGCGTCCTTTCTATTAACTCCTGGTCCAAGCACTAGTTTGTTTTCACGCTTCCTCTTTATGTAATAGTCGCGCAAGTACTTCCACTTATTTCTGCAATCTCTCTCTGAAAAAATACGGAAAAATTGACACATCAGTAAAATAGACAAATTACACGAGACCAGAAAAAGACGAAGAGAGAAATAAAATAGAGCAATTTCTCCTGGGTGATAAGCTCAAAAATAACGTTGATTCTTCTCCAACATCTATCATTTATTATCGAGAAAATTGAGATTTTCCTTGGGCTCATCAGCAAAATGGACTTACTCCCTTCGCTTCAAGATGTCTCTTCTATTTTCACGAAGCGGCAACATACGGAACACGAACAACTTTCCCGAGGCCGAGGGTGCCTCCAAGGAAAGCAGTCTGTAGGTTGGGGGGGGGGGTCTCCCGGGGCTTATCTTATAATAATGCTAGACACAAGAAAATCAACTTACCAGGTTTTTTGACTGCTGCACTAATTTTCCTCCAGATAGCATTTTTTAAATTCGTTTTTTTATAGTCTGGGTGCTCCAGACAATATATTGAGGGATTAGCTTGAACGAGACTTATGAGTGTCTCCTCTTGCTCCCGAGAGAAATACACTCTCACCATTTTATGTTAAATATAAAGAGGCACAAAGGAGATAAGAGAGAGAGAGACACACACACAAAGAGATAGGCACACAAGAAGATAGGTGCAAATTGCAACAAACTATAACGGGGACTCGCCGACTTGCGCTCGGGATTTGCAACGTGCGCGCGTCTCACCGACCGAACTGACCGACTCCGACTGGAGCGCACAGCACCGAAGGAATTCCGACGCCGACTTCGGTTTCAAGGCTGGGTTTGCCTAGGACCTCCGCTCCGTCCAACGGAAGTTGCCGCGCAGCGAACATCGCGAGCTCTATGCACTGCACCTTGAGTCCCTTTATACTGAGAGTCAAGACAATGTGACTCCATAGACGAATTTAGTGTGACGTCACATCTCGATTTAATTTCGATATCTCGAAAGTCGAAACGTGCCCCAACAAACGAACATATAGGAATCTGCGGGATTTAGGCAGGGGGGTAGGAGGGTTCGCTTTATGACTGTCACTGATATTACGAGCTTATTATACAATCAATTCTTGTGATTGTGATCTCGAACGTTTTTGTAAATGGCTAGCTTTCATAATTTTAAAGTCCCATGGAGCATTTTTTTAGTTTCAGGCAGTTTTAGCATTATTTCGTCAATTGTTCATTTTGGAGGTTATGTTTGTTTGTTGGGGCACATTTCGACTTTCGAGATATCGAACCAACAATATCGCTCCGTAACGTCACCACTAAATTCGTCTATTTCTGATTGGTTTCCGTATTTTAGGCCTCCACAGTGTCACAAACGGGAAGAAAGATTACATTTTCACCGATTGCAAAGATTATAATGTACACGGAGAAAAAAACTTCGTGCATGGGCCCCGAAGTTGAGGTCATATGAATCGCTGAAGTTTTCGGATCTCGCAGCCGAAAACTTGAGGACTAGCTGCCGAAGTTCGGGTCAGACATCTGAAGTACCTAGATACATACCGAAGGGTTCGGGTCACACATTTGAGTACTCTGGTACTTACCCATAGAAAAAAAAAGGAGGTGTTTGCATCTTGAGGATTTGTACCCACCTACGTCATCAATGTAAACAAGACGCTCGTTGAGGGTTATGTTGACGCTGTAAAAACGGATCATAATGTCCGATTTTTTTACTTAAATCAACTCTTTATATAATTTCAAGCACTTTTTATAGAATGACTTTTTCCCTCAAATTACACCATTTCCAAGAAAATCGACAGGATAAAAACGTCGCTGTACCCAATGACGTCATCATAGCTATAAATACTCTATGAAAAATTCCAAGATGCCCGAAATGCAAACACCTCCTTTTTTTTCTCTATGGTACTTACCGCAGTAATTCGGATGTCTGACCGGAACTTCGGCAGTTGGACCTCAAGTTTTTGGATGCGTGATCCGAAAACTTCAGAGATCCATATATGACCTCAACTTCGGGTCCCATGCACGAAGTTTTTTTCTCCGTGTAGAATTGACCGGGGAATAACGGGGTAGAGAAGCAACGGCGAAAGAAATTTGAGAATGAGTCGATCAAAGATTACGAAAAACTGTCAATTTTTGTAATCTTTATTCCCGTTTGTGACTCCATGAGGGGGGTTGTCTTGACTCTTGGTATAAAGGGACTTTATACGGACCCAAGGCGGTTAAAGAATGGTGGTCGCATTTCGTACCCTCTTGATGTCACACGGCATCGGGTACGTTTCGGGTACATCCTGATTGCATGTCAAAGCATGCTGCGCATCACAGCCTTTAAAATGGCGGCTCAACTCGAAATGCGACCACCTTTTTTTATCCGCCTTGCCATGCACCCTTCTACAGATCCACATTGACAATGATTTCTTTTGACAATCAAAATAAGGTACTAATCACAACGTCTTGATATTTCATCATTTTGGTTCAGCAGTGGATGGGTACTGCCAAAGTTGAATACTTCCTCCAAATTTTACAGTCGAAAAACTCCCACGTAAAAAAGAGAAGAGGAAAGAGTCATTCAACTTCTTCGATTCTGTATTTGACTCCTCTTTGGATCAAAGACCTTGATCCCCCGCCGAAATGGATTTTGGCTTTGTTGTGTTGCCATGTAACTTGCTCCTTTTCCCTGTCGCAGTTAAAAAATTAACGTATCACGCAGCGGTCGTAAAATTTCAGGGCTAGGTTCCAACTTCATTACGTAAGTCGATGAAAAGCTGAAATTTGGACTCTGGTTAGGGGACAGTCATTCAACGTTGACTTTATCACTCAAAGACCAAAATGAAAAAGTTATTTTATTTTGAAAAATGTAACAATTAGACCGATCGTGAGATTTTCCCGATCCACAGGTGATTTGTTGAAAAACTCGATTATATTTGACTGATATTGAGTGAAATATATGGCATATTCGGATTTTTTTCAGTTCTAAAACTTTCAGACCTAGTTTAATTTATGGCACGAGTACTCACCAATAAGATATGCAACTGCGAAAGAGTCAGTAATATAGAGTCAACGCTGAATTTTTCGAGGGGACTGTACAATAGTTTACAGTCCGGAGAAAATTAGTATACGTCCAAATGCAAATGGTGAGGATGGGAAAGCACATCATCATCACATTATCACACAGAACTTCAAAATCAAATAAAACTGTAACTTTCAAAGTACAACTTCTTGCGAGTCGAGTAGCATAGGTAACGCAGGGAATGCATGCACGCGTTGAAGTTTTCTTACATGAAACGCATGTTTCAGGCATTTCAAAAGCTGCTGTTAAACATATTTAATACAATTCTTACAATACAGGCTCAGTCAGAGTTGCACAGCTTTGAAAACGAAAGTCTAGAATGCTCGTGATGTCAATTGCAGGGGTGTTGCACACGGACAACATTGGAGGCGTTGAGTGGTTTATTGCTTGCTCTTACATTGTAGTAGCACCGTTCACACATCTGGAGCTAATCTGTTTCATCAATCAAATTCAGTAAGGAAACCGGTAAAAATCTAAAATGTCATTCGTTCGGCGTAGGTTTACGCACACAATTTTCTTCAAAGGACATCAGCCAAAATTCTCGCGAAAGTAATCCAGCCCCTACTCAGTTAAAAAATTCAGCTAACTCAGAAGTCGGTGTGAGTCAAATGGTATGTCGATGGCCAAACTGCAAATCCACACATCTCCGTTCCCGACGTTGAAGACCTCCCGTCACACGCTATTTTCTCTTTGAAAAAATAGTGAACGTGATCTCTTGGAAACTTCCTTGAATTTTCTTCTGTGTTAGCAGAATATTCTATATAAATTTCAAGCTGTTTTGGCTTGTCTATCTCTCCGAGGAAAACAAAATAGGAGCGGAAATTTTGTAACATCGCAATGGAGATACGTGGTTTGGCTTTTAAGTCATAGATATGCAGAATAGGTGATGATTGAAGGAAGAAGAAAGGCGGAGTAACTGAACTTCTCCTTTTCGAGTAAAAATAGGGATTCATTAAGAGGCTCCGATAAAATGGACGGGTGGAAAACTTATTTGAGTTGTTTTAAGAAAAGGACACGGTGCGCGGTGTGCGGGACTGCGGGAACATCCTGTGGACAGGGGTCATCACACTTTGCGCTAGATGCGTCTGCCGTCCAGGTCGTGCTCCCATCTTGCTGCACATGCACATGCAGGTAGGTCTCGCTGTGATGCATTGTCCTGTCCTCCTACGCAAAAGTAGGGACTCGCAGTTCGCAGTATTGTGTCACAGATTGTCCACAGACTTGTCTCTTCATTTAGAGGGCATTGTGAAAAGTGCATGCAAGTAATCTCATTCAAAATAACATGCGGAGCCTATGGATTCGATCCACTTCAAAATCCTCCGGAAAATAAAACCGTGAGTCCATTGACGCGATACGATCGACAACCGTTAATCGATCGACAAACCCCATTAATCGATCGAAACACCCGCGAGTCGACCGACAACCCCATGAATCAATCGACAAAATCGTAAATCGATAGACGAACCCCTGAATCAATCCACAAACTCGTAAATCAACAGACGAGCCCCTGAATCAATCGACAAACCCGCGAGTCGATCCACAAACTCGTAAATCAATAGACAAACTTCTGAATCAATCGGCAAATCCGTGATTCAATCGACAAACTCGTAAATCAATAGACGAACCCCGGAATCAATCCACAAACCCGTGAATCGATCGACAGACTAGTGATTCGATGGACATACCATGTGAATAGATCTACATACCCGTGAATGGATCGGTAGACTAGTGAATCGATGGACATACCTGTGAATAGACCTACAAACCCATGAATAGATCGACAGTAAACCCGTGAATCAATCGAATTTGTCGATCAAGTCGGTGATCAAGTCCATTGAATCTCATATTTTTATTTTTCCATCGATTCATGTTGATCGGCTCCATACCTTTGGACGATTATTGCTGAGAAGTAAAGTAGTATAATATCCAACTATATATTAAAATCTCAAGGCTAAAATTGTGAACGTTGTGTATACCATGCCAGAAACGCTGTAGTTTTGAGCTATCTCCCATTGACACTGTTAAGTATGAATCTATGCACTACGATGCCTTCTAACAGTTTCTAACAGTTATCGGTCCAGGTGAATGAAGCAGGAATGTTTATAATTAGAATATTGATAAAATCTGCGCCTTTTTTCAACATTCGCAGTCAACAGAGCGCTCTTTTAACTTAAAACAACGCGAGGAACAAAAGGAGAATATACGAAGTTGGGTTCGAACCCAACATACAACTATTTAAACTCCGCGGTGGGCCGGGTTGCATACACTCGATTTTGTGGGCGAAATCGAAGATCTGCACATGGCCAACGCGGGCTCACTGTATACGGCTCTCGTTATAGGGCACAGGTGAGACCAGATTTCGCCCGAAAAATCGAGCGTATGCAACCCGACCCACCGCGGAGCTTAAATAGTTGTATGTTGGGTTTGAACCCAACTTCGTACATTCTTACATTGTTTTACGTTCCGTGCATTGTTCAAATGCCGAGTTTACCGCTCGGAGAGACATCTCAGTTGATTTGTATCACGTTATTTTGTTTGTAACGAATTTTCTCTGTGAACTGAGGAGCCTACAGGAAGTTATACGATGTCTGTGAAGTTAGCATACCGACTTTTAAAATTTTCGATTTTCTCTTTGGCCCGTCATTGCTCATCATTTGCTCACCTCGAAAATAGCCTTCATTTTTTTTTGCTCCGGCATGTACCCACCAAAAATCGAACTTAAACTTTCAGAGAGATACGGGGTATTCTCGGATGATTTAAATCCCTGGTAAAAATTGGCTATAAGAGCTGTGTTTCAAAATACCATAGAAATTCTTATAGCCGGCTAAAGAAGGCTACA